AATGCCGGGAATTGGAAATGAAAATGAAATTAAGGGCCGCTTTTAAACAATAAATCAATCTTTGCAGCAGAATAAAGTATGTAGCACGAAAGAGTCATGAAGGAGTTTACTGCAGTCCAGGGCCTTTGGCCTGAACCCATTTATCCCTATTAATATGTTTGCCATTACCTGGTGAAAGACTGGCAAATCTGCTTTGTAAATTGGCCCAAGGGGTAACGCAGATACAGCTCTGAATGCATATTTTATTATTTGCGTTTGATAATTTTTCACTAGATAATTATGTCTGGGAAAAGGCACAGGCTTATAAAGCTTGGTAACCTTGTCTTCATGAGCTAAAGAGACATTGCTTCCGTATGTCCTGGGCTCTGGAAGTCTCACAGCAAGATTCAGCTTAGAAAGCAGCCTCACTAATGTTTTTTTGTCTGACATACGTGGAAACCCATCACCATGATCAGCTGGGTGTCTGACACACGCAGAAACCCATTACTGTACTTGACAGTATCCAAACGAGACTGAGAGTTCCACGTAGGCATGTCCTCGCCTTCAAGACCCTCCACAGCACTTTCCTATGACATGATGACCCCATATCAACCTGTCCGCTTAATAATCCTTGCATTTGATACAGTGCTTTTCACATCTTCTAGACGTCTCAAAGCGCTTCACAGAATATGCTGTAAAGTGAATTGACTGTATATTTGTCGGCAAAACAGGGCAGTCAATTGCGCACAGCAGTGTCCCACAGCTCTGGCCTGCTCCATGACCCTAGCCCGGCCTATCCCACAATCCCACCATTGGCGGTCGAGCCTTCAGCCTCTCTGCCTCCACCCTTTGGAACTACATCCAACATTCCCTTCACCTCACTCCCTTCCTTGTCTCCTGCAAGGCATGTCTCAAGACCCTCCTCTTTGACTGCATCTTTGACCATAAGGTCAAATTGTACCCTCCCAATCCTCTACCCTCCCTGAACCCAACACCCGTCCACACACACCCCTCCCCCCTCTAGCTCGTGTCCAAATCTCTGACTGTCCAGCACCTTAGGACATTCTCTAGACGTGAAAGGCGCTGTGTAAATGTAATTTTGTTTCTTGTATTGTATCTACACATGAAAATTTTCCAGAGAGTGAGACAGGGAGCAAAAGACAGCGATTGAGTGCATGAGAACAAATGAGAGTAAGAGAATGAGAGAGAGCGAGAGAGAGAGAGAGAGTGAATTCAGGAGAGAGTGAGATAGAGAAGACAGGAGAGTTAGAAAAGAATGAGAGAAAGAGAGGGAGTGGAAAAGAGAAAAGACGAGGAAGATAATAAGCGAAGAAGAGAGCGAGAGTTAGCAGGATGAAGGTTGATTAAGAATCCTCTACATTAGAGAATTTCTCACTGTGGAGTCAGGGTGATTTCAGAATTCTCTATGGTTTTCCAGCTAGGGAGCACTTTGAACTGCCTGCAGCTGAACTGAATCACAAAGGAATACAGTCACCCATTAAATATGTCCTCATTATCTCTCTCGTATGTTAACTACTGCTAAATCTTCACCTAATTATATTTTAAATGGAATATATCACCGAGACAGTGACTCAATGTACACCACTCGCTCTTTCTCTCTTATTCTCTCCCTCACTCTCTCTCTAACAATAGTATCAATTTGATACAGCGCCTTCTATGTCAAGAGAATCTCTCCAAGTAGGATTCACTGTAAAGTGTAGTGACTGTTTATATTGCAGGAGAACCCGGCAACCAACATGTGCACAGCAATGTACCACAAACAGCCATGAAGTGAACGACTGATATTATTTGGGGGATTGTTACCCAAGACATTGGGAGAGAGGACCTCCCTTCTCTTTTCCAACAACCTCGCAGGATCTTTACCATCAAACTGAACAGGCGCAGGATCTTGGGGAGCTCGGTTTAACGTCTCATTCAAAGGACTCAATAAACATTCGATCACAGCATTTGCAGTAAAATCTTGTGAAGCACTTTCAAACACCCTCCCAATGAGGGAGGTATTAAAATAATCCTTGCATTTGATACAGCACCTTATCACGTCATTTAAACGTCTCAAAGCACGTCACAGGAAGCTACTGTAAAGTCTTGTGACCGTGTGTTTTGTAAGGGACTGCAGCAGTCAAATTGAGCATGGCAATGTCCCACAAACAGCCATGGAGTGAAGGATCAATTTGATCTACAATAATAATCATGGTATTTGATATAGCGCCTTATCACACCTTCCAGACATCTCAAAGCACTTCACAGAATACACTGAAAAGTGAATTTGACTGTAAATTTTGTGGGTGAAACAGATTATTTGGGGGATTGTCAAGCAGGAAACTGTGAGAGAGAGAGAGAGAGAGATAGAAAAACTCCCTTCTCTTTTCAAATAATGACACAGGATCTTTAACGTCCACCCGAACAGGGCAAACACGGGACCTTGTTTTAAGGTATTATCTGAAGGATGGCACTTCCAAAGATGTAGCACTGTATTGGAGCGCTAGCCTAGACTGTGAGCTCGATGTCCCAACATGGGGCTTGAACCCACAACCTTCTGACTCAGAGATAAAGATGTGCGGTAGAAAGGAAAGCTGGGGATCGAACCTGACACCTAAATTGCGCATGGGTTCGGCAAGGAAGAGCCCAGAGAGGTTGAGGAGTTCAGACCTGCAGGAGAGAAGACGTTGATGGGAGACAATAAGTATGGCTTCCGTCCTGCTGACATTCAGCTGCAGGAAATGCGCTCATCCAGGCCATGATGTCCATCAAACAAGCTGAAAGTACATCAGCGGACTGGGAGTCGCAGCTGGAGGAAAAGTAGATTTGGGTGTCATCCACATACTTGTGGAAGTTGACCCCACAACTGCGGATAACATCGCCAAGACTTTGCTGGCAGTTTGTTAAGTAAGACTCGAACCATACAATTGCGGTTCTACTAAGGTGTTTCAAATTATGAATGGCTTTGATAGGGTAGACATAAAGTAGATGTTTCCACTTGTGGGGGGACCAAAACCAGTGTCCAATATAAAATAGTCACCAATAAATCAAATAGGGAAGTTAGAAGAAACTTCTTTATTCAGAGAGTGGTGCGGATGTGGAACTTGCTATCACAAGGAGTAGTTGAAGCGAATAACATGGATGCATTTAAGGGGAAGCTAGATAAGTACATGAGGGAGAAGGGACTAGTAGGTTATGCTGATAGGCTTAGTTGAGGAAGGGCAGGAGGAGGCTCATGTGGAGCATAAACACCGGCATATACCAGATGGGCCGAATGGTCTGTTTCTGTGCTGTACATTCTATGTAATTCTATGTAAGGTGGATGGGGGAGGTGAAGCAGTGGTCGACTGTGTTGAATGGGGCAGAGAGGTCCAGCCAGACAAGGAGGCAGAGAGAGCCGAGGTCACAGAGGGAGAGGATGTCAGAGTGAGAGACAGAGAAACAAACAGAAGGAGATAGACAGAGAGAGAGAGAGAGAGAGAGAGAGACAGATATACAGGGGGCGAGACAAACAGAGAAACAGTCAGACTAACAGAGGTAGAGACAGAAGGAGAGACACAGACAGATAGAGGGAGAGACAGAGAGAGAGGCAGAGACAGAGAGAGCCAAAATCTTTTCAAATACAGAGAATTGCCCACGTCCTCCTCCGGCTACCCTCAGTGCCAGCTTGGCCTGGGGGGGAGGAGGGAGACCCCATCACTCATTCCCTTTTAACCAAATATTAGCATTTGGCTAATGCGTCATACACTGTGCCATATAATTAATAAACACAGCGTGTGGAGCGAGAAAAGAGAGAAACCCCACTGAGATTTATTGTGCCGGCACACGGTTCCCCATCACACATATAATCGCAGCACTTTGATGGGGCTGACACAATCTAGGATCTAGGATTAATACCCATTGTTGACTTGACACCTGTATATTAATATTATAATTATTTTACGCTCCCAGGCAGACTGTCTCTTGACAAGATATTGAGTGTGTTTTTTTTTCCTCATCCTTCTCTGCAGACAGTGTGCTCAAAGCCGAGCTTTCCTTGTTAAGAGACCAGAAAAGGAGAAAAACAGCGTCTCAAAGCTTTTCACCGTTTTGATTGCTCGAAGAACACGGCGGCCATTTTGCTCGCAGCAAGGGCCCGCAAACAACCATAGCGTTAGTGACAAATTCGTCATCTACTATACTTGCATTTGATATGCCTCAAACCATCTTCACGGGTTATGCTGTAAAGTGTAGTGACTGTGTATTTTGTGGGTGAGCGTGGCAGCCAGTTTGCGCACAGCAACGTCCCACAAACAGCCATGGAGTGAGTTACCAATTTTCAGGGGATTGTCAGCCAGGACAGCGAGAGAGGGAAACTGCATTCTGTTTTAGAATAGTGCCCTGGGCAGATGAGACCTTAATATCTCATCTGGTTCAACATCTCAGCCAAAGTAAGGCATTGCCGACAATACAACCCAGTCCAGCACTGGATTACACTGTCAGTGTAGACATATGGGCTCCTGGTCCCACATGGGACTCAATCCCATAACCTTGTTCTTTCATTACTATTCGAAAAGAGGAGAGATATCCTGTAAAGTGCAATGACTGTGTATTTTATGTGTAAACGTGGCAGCCATTTTGCACACAGTGATATCCCACACATAGTCTTGAAGTGAATGACCAATTTTATCTGGAGTACTGTTGGTCAGGACACTGGGAGAAAGAAACTTCTCTTTTCCGAAAGTGCCATAAGAAGTTTAACATCCACCTGAACAAACAGACAGGACCTCAGTCTAACGTCTCATGTGAAGTCTCCGACAATGCATCACACCCCCAGCACTGCACTGGAGTGTCAGCCTAGACCGTAAAGGACCAATGTGGAAGCTTGAACCAACAGCCTTCTGATTCAGGGGTGAGAAATCTACTGCCTGAGCCAGGCTGACACACAATGTAAGGATTATTTTTGTACAGTGACTGAAGGCTTGGCACCGAATAAATACAGAGAAATCAGTATGAAGGAAGGGGAGAGCTCAGTGACTGACCTGTTCTGCACCATGCTCATCACCAGCCAGTCCACAGGGTACACATTCTTCCCGATCAGATCCTTAAACATGATGAAGGTCTCCATCAGGAAGTCCTACCGGAAACAATGGGGAGGTCAGTCCGGGCAAGAAAACTGGTGGAAAACCTCAAAAGAGATGGCAGGAATTATCCGCTGAAGCCTGAAGTTCCATTGGCACCTAGCCACGAGCCCTACAAGATGACACTACAAGAAAGAGTGAGAGTGTAAGACAATGTGAGAGAATGTAAGAGAGTGAGACCAGGCCAGATGGGGTTATAATAATAATAATCCTTGCATTTGATATAGTGCCTTATCACGTCATTGAGATGTCTCAAAGCACTTCACACAAATACTGTAAAGCGAGTTGACTATATTTTGTGGGTGAAAATTAGAGAGAGAAAGAGAGGGAAAGAGACAGAGTGTGTAATAGAGTGAGAGCGGGATAGACAGAGTGAGAGAGTCAGAGAGATAAAATGTGTAAGTGAATGAGAGAGGGATAGACAGAGTGAAAGAGAGTGAGAGAGAGAGAAACACAGCAACAACAATAACTCGCAAGAGTAAGTGAGAGAGAGTGGGATAGAGTGAGAATGATTGTGTCCCATTTCTTCTCTCGCTCTTTCTCTCCCTCTCCATAAATCAACACAGAGTGTGATAGCGACTATGCCCCCATGACGTGTGTTCCACTTTACACTCCAGATAAATGAGCCCTCGTCTCGCAGTGTTTCACTGACAGGCTGAGCTTGTCCTGGTGAAACCTCTCTAGAGGTCCCCTGACCCTCGCTCTGACAAGCCTACACTGATATCCACCATCAGTCCCTGGCCATATCTGTCTCTGTCAGCCTCATTCACTATCTCTCTCTAATAACCCTTGGTCCTTGCTAGAGATCACAGCATGCAATTTGTTCCTCTCCTTCACCCATATCAACCCAGCTGTTCCCTTGTCACTGGCCTTCTCCACGCTCCCTCTCTATCTGCTGCATCTGGGCAAGCTTTCAGCCACCTGCTATCTGGAACTTCATAATAATAATAATAATAATAATCCTTGCATTTGATATAACGCCTTAGCACGTCTTTGAGATATCTCGCCTTACATGCGAGAGACATGGGTTTGTTTCCCGGGCAAGGTGAAAAGTTGGGCAAGTTTCCTTACTCCACATGCCTGTGTTTACAGTAAGTAAAAACCTGGTTGTTTAGTCAATTGGCGGATTGCTTTTCCGGGGCTAATAATTCCTTCAAAACAATTTGACAGGATTAGTTGCGGTACAGATCAGCCACGATCTAATTGAAGCGGAACAGGCTCGAAGGGCTGAATGGCCTACTCATGTTCCTATGCTCCTATGTCTCAAAGCACTTCACAGAATATACTATAAAATGAATTGACTATATTTTGTGGGCAAAACGCAAACAGCCGTGGATTGAGTGACCAAATTATTATTATTATTTTATTGAAGGGATAATTACCCCGGGAAAGAGATCCACCACTCGACCAACAACCGGGTTCCTGCTTACTGCTAGGTAAACAGAGGCGTTGGAGTAAGGAATCTTGCCCAAATTTTCACCCTGCCCGGGAATTGAACCAGGTCTCTCGCTTGCGAGGAGAGTGCTCTAACCACTTAGCTACAGGAAAAGAATGACAGGGAGAATGAGAAAGAGAGAGAGCAAAAGAGTGAGAGACAGCAATAAAAAGATGGCGAGATAGAGGTGGCAGGAGAGTGACAGAACGCGAGAAACAGTGAGAGATCGCAGGAGAGAGAAAGAACGAGAGAGAGAGCGCGAAAAAGATGGTGAGAGAGAGACAGAATGCAAGAGAGAGAGAGAGGAGAGCAATGGCAAGAGAGAGTGTGAGAGTGAGAAAGAGAAAGGAGGAGAGAGAAAGTGTTAGAAAGACGGCGAGAGAGAGACCGAATAAGAGAGAGCAAGAGAAAGAATGAAACGTAGAAAGCAAGAGAGGGGGAATGAATTAGAGAAAGAGAGCAAGAGAGAGAGGGAAAACAAAAGTCAGAGAGAGAGAAAGAGAGAGAGAGAGATGCCTTGAAGCTAATGAACAGCTTCAATAGATCAGCAAAAAAATCTGGTGCTGGTCGGGTCTTTCTATAAGTATCTACATGCTTAATAACAAAGAGAAAAATGCTGTCATTCCGATTAGCTCTAATCTTCCTTTCGTATACGGGCACAGGGCAACCTGTCAGCGTTCACAGTAGACAGGGAATACCTCCCACACTGATTAAACTGCTTCTCCCCTCCCACTCCCTACCACTCGCTCTCCCCTCCCCCACTCCCTCCCCTCCCCCCTCGCTCCCCTCCCCCGCTCGCTCCCCTCCCCCACTCGTTACCCTCCCCCGCTCGCTCCCCTCCCCCGCTCTCCTCTCCCCTCATTCCCCTGCCCCCTTCGCTCTACCCACTCCCTCATTCCCCTCTACCCTCCTCGATCCCCTACCCCCTCACTCCCTCTTGCCAGTCAAATTTTCTAGAGGTGGATTAATTTTTGTTAGGTCAGGATATCAACATCAACAAGATTACATTTGTATAGCACCTTTCACATTGGGAGGACGTCCCAAGGCGCTGGACAGTGTACAGCATTTCAGACCCGAGCTGGGGTTGGGGGGGTAAGGGAGGGGAGGGGAAGGGGGTGGCCGATGGCATGGTCGAAGAGGAGGGTCTTGAGGCAGGACTTGAAGGAGGCTAAGGAGGGGGAGAGGCGGAGTGACTGGGGGATGGAATTCCAGAGGTTGGAGGCAGAGTGGCTGAAGGCTCTCCCACCAATGGTGGGGCGGGTGGGTCGGGGGACGTGGAGCAGGCCGGAGCCGGCTGAGAGGAGCGAGCGGGCTGGTTGGTAGGGGGTTAGGAGGTCGGAGAGTTAGGGTGGGGCGAGGCCATGGAGGGCTTTGTATGTGAGGACCAGGATCTTGAACTGGATCCTCTGAAGGATAGGGAGCCAGTGGAGTTGGGGGAGAGTGGGGGAGATGGGATCACGGAGTTTGGTGCGGGAGAGGACACGGGCTGCAGAGTTCTGGATTATCTGCAGCCTGTGGATGGAGGAGTTGGGAAGCCCAACAAGCAAGGCACTTGCATAGTCGAGCCTGGAGGTGATGAAGGCATGAACAAGAGTTTCAGTGGCCTGAGGGGTGAGGTAGTGGCAGAGTCGGGGGATGTTACGGAGGTGAGGGAAGGCAGAGCAGGTCATGGCTTGAATGTGGGGGAGAAAAGACAGTTGAGGGTCGAACAAGACACCGAGGTTCCTATCCTGACTGGATATCAAGAGATATGGACCAAAGTCGACTGATTGGAGTTGAGGTACAGATCAGCCATGATCCACTAGAATGCAGAACAGGCTCAAGGGGCTGAATGGCCCACTCCTGATCCTAAGTTCCCCCCTTTGCTCCACTTCCCCTCGCTCCCCTCACTCTCACTCCCCTCTCCTCACGCCAGACAGCCAGAACACCAGGAGAGAGAAACTCTCTTCTCTTTTCGCGTGGCACTGCGAATCTTTAACATCCACCTGAACAGGCAGATGAGACTCAACCACTCTGACTGTGACCTGTTCCAGTTGTTAAGCTGCCTTTGAGTAAAGGAATGTTTTTTTGGTGTCTGTCCTGAAATTGCCCTGAACACTTGTTCTGCTGTCTCGCTGCAACTGAAAAGAATCTGGATGATGTTAGCCAGGACACCGGGAGTACACGGCTTTTAGGATGAGGAATGAAGAGCAGAGGCTGTTTCTCCAATGGGAATGGAATAGGACAGAAATAACCAGAATGCTCATCCCCTGGGAATCCCAGAGACAGTGACAACCAGACACTGCCTCTGGCTCCCACTTATCGGTGCTCTCTCTCTCTCTCTCTCTCTCCCCCACTCCTGCTCTCTCTCTTTCCCTCTTCTTTCTCCCACTCTCGCTTTCTCCCTCACTCTCCTCCCCTTCTCTCTCTTTCTCTCTCCCCCCTCTCTCTATTTGCCCCACTGTCTCTCACTTTGCCCCCCCTCCTCTCTCTCTCTCCCCTCATCTCGACCTCTCTCTCATTCCCTCTCTCTACAGTACAGTGACCGCGGCTTTTCATAAGCTAGTTCTGGCTGCCGTGGGTTTACTTTAGAAATGTCACAGTCCGCTCAAATGTAAAATGTGATTTCCCTGTGTTATCCGTTTGTCTCAACAGCTCAGTGAAATAATAATAATAATCCTTGCATTTGATATAGTGCTTTTCATGTCTTCTAGACGTCTCAAAGCGCATCACAGAATATATTGTAAAGTGAATTGACTGTATATTTGTGGGCGAAACACGGCAACCAATTGCGCACAGCAGTGTTTCACAAACAGTCGTGGATTGAGTGATCAAATTATTATTATTATTTGTTGAAGGGATTATTACCCGCAGAAAGCGATCTGTCATTTCACTAACAACCGGGTTCCCACTTACTGCTGGATAAACAGAGATGGATGTTAAAGGTCCCGCGGTGCTATGCAAAAAGAGAAGAGAGTTTCTCTCTCCCAGTGGAGTAAGGGAGTTTGCCTGAGGATTTGCCCTGCCTGGGAATTAAACTCGGGTCCTCTTGCTTGCAAGGCGATATATTTTGTGGGCAAAATGTGGCAGCCAATTGCACACAGCAGTGTCCCACAAACAGTCTTGCATTGAAGTAACAAATGTATTATTTATTTTAAGGAATTATTACCCACAGAAAAGCGATCCGCCAAACGACTAACTACCGGATTCCTACTTACTGCTGGGGAGTAATCCCTTCACACCCCAGCACCACCACAACTCTCTGACCCTGCTCGTAACCCCATCCCACGTCAACTCGGTGGCCTAGGCTTCACCCCTAACTCTGGAACTATCTGCCTCAATCACTCCACTTCAACCCAACTTTATCAATCTTCAACTCCTACCTCTTCAACTGCACCAATGGGTACCTACCCTCTCCTCCCTCGCTCAGGGCCACGGTTACGTGCTCCGAGACGCTATCCTGAGTGAGGGCCCGCCATGTAAACGCAAATTGTCGTATTTATTAGGGTAGAGAATTATTCAAGGGCAGGTCGACAGAGAAAGAGTGAATGGGTTATTTTACGTGTAATCCTTAAATTTGATACAGAACCGTTCACATCGGGTGGTCACCTCAAAGCGCTTCACAGTATTTACTGTGAAGTGTAGTGACTGTGTATTATGTAGGCAGCTGATTTGTACATAATAACGTCCCGCATCAGACATAAAGTGAGTGACCAATTTTAATCTGGTTGGAGGTGGTGGGAGATTATCTGATAGGACACCAGGGCAAGATCCATGGGATTTTTAACCCCTTGCTACTCCATCCATGGTTCCCCCCTATCCTCACACCCACACTTTAACAGGCATGGACAGGAACTTGTTTTTCAGGTCTGAATTGATGACGGAACCTTCATTGCAGTGAACCCCTTGCTCACCACCCCCAGCACATGGAGCGAATGCTGTCCACCTGTCCCGCCTATTCCCTGCCGCAGATTTGATATGTGGTAGCTTATCCTACATATTGAGTGAATCGTGTTTAAAACCTTGATTGAAATCAAATCAGCCGGCCTCAAATAATGTCGATTAGAAGGTTGGATTAAAACCATTGACATGCTCCTTCATTTGTCTTTTAGGAAGGGGCAGAGAGGAAATGAATAAATAATTAGCATCTCCTGATATGAAGAAGTCTCAGCCTCCATGTAAACTGGTGCTGGTGTGTGGGCGGCAGCGAGCGATTGCGTTACAAGGTGGAAACTTACACTGACAGTTACTGGGCTTCCTGTTGTATATACACTGAGTAATGCAGGATACTCGGTCAATTACATGCTGGTCATCCAATTGAAGGGGCAGCGTCAAGACAGACACAAGAGGAAGGGAGCCCTGGTGCTCGGCTGTTTGTGACTGTATCCAGGCATCATACTGTCTAGGAATTTGCCTCAGGTGCGAGGCACACAGCATAACAGGGAACACGGTCTGTTTGGGGTGGGCGAGAGTCCCTGACTTTCGAGAATCTGAGAGTCTGAGACATTTGAGAGTTTGAGGGAGTATGTCATGCGGCAGCCAATTAACACAGACCAATGTCCCCGCACACAGCAATGCAGTGAATAATGGACCTTATCTTGTTGGCCAAGATACTGGAAACTCTTTTCGAATAGTGTCACAGGACCTTCAGCATCCACACAAACAGGCATAGATGGGACCTCGGTTTAACATCTCATCCAAAGAACAGCGTCCCTGACAATGCAACGCTTTGAGACGTGACCATGTGTGAAAACCACTGTATAAATGTGAGTTGTTATTGTTGTTATATTGGAGAGTCAGCCTGGACTATGGGAGTTCACACAGTTTGTTCCCTCTCTGTGGACCACTTGAAATTGAGGTTACTTGTCCCCCCCACTCTCTCTTTGACCCCTCCTCTCTCTCTATTTCTCTCTCCCCCCTCGTCTCTACCTCTCTCTCACTCCCTCTTTAAGCTGTGTCTCTCGCACCAGAGGCAAATACAGGTGGAGCCCTGTAGCTCAGTAGTTAGAGCACTCGCCTCGCAAACGAAAGTCCTGGGTTCGATTCCCAGTAGGGCGAAACCTTGGGCATGTTTCCTTACTCCACTTGCCTGATAAGAATCCCTCAAGAAAATAAATAAAATAATAATTTAGTCCGTCAATCCACGACTGTGTGCGGGACACTGCTGTGCGCAATTGGCTGCCATATTTCACTTTACAGTACATTCTGTAGCTTTGAGATGTCTTGAAGACGTGATAAGGTGCTGTATCAAATGCAAGGATTATTATTATCATTGTTCTCCCAACAAGGAAATTTGCTATTAAAATCTCTGTGGAAAACACTTCACGGACTAGTTTATCTTTGCCGGGCCATTCGTCTTCAGAGATGCATTAAAAAAACATTTCCCTCCTTAATTCCAAGATGTGAACCCATTACCTTGATACATGGTGAATGGGGGTCAGCATGTCATGTAGAAAATTGCAATGTAGGGATGTTTTTATTAAATATGCTGCCCCAGCAAAAGAGATTGCTTTCACCAGGTTAACAGCCTACAGTTACTTCAGAAGATATACCCAGACAGCCAGAACCTTGGGACATCCTCCTGACATAAAAGGTGCTATACAAGTGCAATTTGTTGTTGCTGTCTCATCTCAACCCTCGTCGGGATGAGGGACTGCACCAACGGAGGAGATAGCATTGACGAGGCAAATTGGTCTTTTAATAATAATAATCTTTGCATTTGATATGGCACCTTATCATGTCGTAGAGACGTCTCAAAGCGCTTCACAAGATATACTGTAAAGTGTCACGACTGTGTATTTTGTGGGCGAAACGCAGTAGCCAATATGCCACAGCAGCGTGCCACAAAACGGCATGAAGTGAGCGACGGATTTTAATTGGGGAATTGTTGGCCAGGACACTGGGAGAGAGAAACTTCCTTCTTTTGTCCAATAGCGCCGCGGGATCTTTAACATCCATCTGAACAGGCAGACGGGACCTCAATTTAATTTCTCAGCCACAGGACGGCACCTCCAACAATGCAACACACCCCAGGGCTACATTGGAGTGTCTGCTTAGACTGTGTGATTCCAGATCACGACATGTGGCTTCAACCTTCTGGGTCAGAGGCGAGAGCTCGACACTGTGTCAGACTGGCACACTAATGCATGATCTTCCAGATTTCACTGTAAAGTGAAGTGAATGTATGTGTTGTAGGCGAATGCTGCAGCCAATTTGTGCACTGCAGCATCTCATAAACAACTATGAAGTGAATGACAAATTCAACATTTCAGTTGACCCTCCTCTGCTCTTAATAACTAAGTAACTAACCAACTAAATAGGATAGCTAGCTAGATAGGATAGTAGATGGATGGGCTGAAGGATGGATGGATGAACAATCCTTGCAACTAGAATATGAGGTTCACGTGTTGGGATGAATGGTCTGTGTCTGTGCTCTATATAGTGTGTTTGTGCAAGTGGACTGACTTACCATGAGGTCTTGTCGTGTCTGGAAGGAGTTGATATAGTTGCTGTAATGGGAGTGGTCCATCTGGCTGAGGATGGCTGTCATACAGGCCACGTAGGAGCTCTGGAGGGAAATAACAGGCAGAAAGTTAGCCCCTGTTCAACCGCCTGTCCAGGCAAGAGAGGGCAGAGCCAGAGGAGGCCACGTGATCCATTTCCCCCAAATCTTCCCCTCTCCACCCCCCCGCCCCATCACAAACGTGAACAGAAAAATCAAGTCTGCGATCGTGCGAATATGGTTATTATGGTGAATGTTATGAATTATAATAATAATCCTTGCATTTGATACAGGGCCTTGCCATGTTGACAAGACTTCTCATAGCGCTTCACAGGAGTCACTGCAAACTGGATTGACTGTGTATTTTGTGGATGAAATACGGCAGCCAATTTGCACACAGCAACGTCCCACAAACAGATGTGGAGTGAACGACCGATTTTATCAGGGGGACGGGGGGGCAGGAGGAGGGGGAGGTGTTGCGGGAGTATCTGGGGGTGATTTTATCCTCAGAAAAACTCTGAAGCGCTTTGTGATGTTTCAAAATGCAGTATCCAGTCAGGTGGCGTGGAGCTCTCAGTCGTAAGCACAGCGATGGGTCAGACACCCAGCTGATCAAAAAACAATCCTCACAGCACATTCCCACTCCCGCTGGGGATTAGCCTCACCTCTCTCTGAAAACTCAGCGTCCTTCACCGATATCAAAGATGATTTTTTTTCAACCATCTCACCTCTTTTTTGCAGAGCGCTTTGTTTCCAGTGGTGAAAATTCATGAATTAAAGAGATGCATGTCATCCCTTAATTCCCGAACGAGATGAAAGGAAAAGCTAATCCCCTTTCCATTTGCATCTGTTTCTTGCGGAGCCTCCCTACTGACTGGTTCATGCTCATCACATTCCACAAGAGGCACTGCCTTTTCAAATTCAACTTGGTCTTAGCCTCCGGCGCCCTCATTTTGTGTAACAGCCTGGCTCTGTTGCTATCACACCTGCCTCTGAGTTAGAAGGTCGTGGGTTCAAATCCACATCGGGACTTGGAACTCAAATAGTACCATGCTGACCCTCCACAGCAACAACAAGATTACATTTGTATAGCGCCTTTCACATCAAGAGGACGTCCCAAGGCACTGGTCAGTGTACAGCATTTCAGACCTGAGCTGGGGTCAGTGGGGTAGAGGGGAGGGGAAGGGGGTGACCGATCACAAGATCACAAATCGAAGAGGAGGGTTTTGAGAGGTTGGCAGTGCTGGGGGAGCAACGCATAGTCAGATTCAAACGGGGTCCTATCTGCTTGCCCAAATGGACATTAAAGATCCCGCGGGGGGATTGGAAAAGAGAAGAGAGTTTCTCTCTCCTGGGATCCTGGTCAATAATTCCCCTGATAAAAGCTGTCATTCACTTCATGGCTGTTTGTGGGACATTGCTGTGCATTAGTTGGCTGCCACAATATACACGGTCACCACACTCACTGTAAATCCAGTTTATTGTGTAGACGAGCCCTCCAGCCAATTTGCACACAATGGTTAATGCCTTGCAAGAAACCGCAAAGTGAACGACCGATCAGAATTGCTGTTCTGAAGTGCTTTTTTTTATTGTTCTGTATTTCACAGGCAAGAGCCCCTCTCAGTGTGTATTTTATGTCTGTCGCTATTATTGTTTTAGGAAGATTCTTTTGGTGGGTGGGGTGGATGGGGGAGCGGGAGAAAGCCCAGCTTCAGATCTCGGCTGAAAGACAAGTAAGGAACAGGTAAAATTTTAATTGTCTTTTCACATACACAAAATTTTTTTGTCAGCTTTCCTTCAGTCCTTTGGAAGTGAAATTATAAAGGTTACTGTCGTTTTTTTATTACAATCACAGGCCCCCTGAGGAACCTGGTGCATGTCAACACTAATCCCTTGTTTTTTATATACAGTGCCTGTAAGGGGTGAAATGTCTCAAAGCATTTCATTCACAGCTCCGTGAGTCCATTTCACACCACCTCCCCACATCCTCGCCAAACTCCCCCCACCACACTCTAGCCAGGTCCACCCCCTACACCCTCACCAGCTTGCTCTGAGAGCCAGGGCAGACTTGATGGGCCGAATAACCTTCTTCTGCACTGTAAGTTCCTATGATGTTTTATCATTATGCGAACGCTCTATGGACCTTGCTTTGTCCCCCTTTGATGCAGCAACTTTATTAAAACATCAGGTTGTATCTGTCTTACGTAAAGCCTCCCTGTGACTCACGTCCTAATTTTACCCGACTAAAAATAACAGGATTATTCGGGGATGTTGGCTGGCTGGCAGAGAGAAGGTACCAAGCTCACTCCCTGTGATGGGGGCACGGTACAGTGAGTGTTCTGGAAGACATGAGGTCAGATGAGCCGAAGCCACCTTGTGATCTAATTGACTTTTTAAAATTTTATTTGAAGGTTTCACATCTCTGACTGTGTCTATTGATCAGAAATGTAAATGTGTCTATAGGAATTTAACTGTATTGGACACTTCCTCTCTCCTTCCCCCCTTTCCCCCAACCGTTCTCAACCCCATCTCCCTCCCCACCTTCCATGAGGCTATGAGGTACCATTTCAGCCATGTTTAGTGGTCGGCCATGTGTCTGAGGCACATGGAAACCCATTGCTGTGTTTGAGAGCCTGCAGACCAGATGAGGAGACTGCAGGGAAGCTCCCATTATAACATGGCCAACTTGGTGCAAGCCCACATGAAGGGAACTGCAACAATGCAAATTGTTGTGTATTTCTAGGCAAACACAGCAGCCAATGTCCCACCTTAATGATAATAATATTAATATTAATCCTTGCATTTGATAGAGTGCTCTATCACGTCGTCAAGACATCTCCACGCGCTTCACAGGATACACTGTAAAGTATAGTGGCTGTGTAGTTTGTGAACGAAACGTGACAGCCAATTGTGCATAACAGTGTCTGTCAAACAGCTATGGAATTAGTGACTCCACACACGAGAATTTAGATTCAGACCTGGATTCTCTGCAGTATTCTCTGCCTCTGCAGAAATGTCTCCACTCTCTCTCTCTCCTCCGCCCATCCCCACCACCACATGCACACACCGCAAATGATCCTCTAGGTATCTAGCTGCAGCTTTGTTCAGAGGAACAAAGCCTGACAGGGCATAATGAGTGAAACAGGGAGGACATTTCGAATTTCTAAAGTGAAGCATACAGATTATTAAAGGATTGCCCTGAGAGTAGTTGAATACGTAATAACAATAATAATCGTTGCATATGATATAACGCCTTATCAGGTCTTCAAGACATCTCAAAGCACTTCACAGAATATACCGTAAAGTGGAGTGACTGTGTATTTTGTAGGTGAAATGTAATGTGCCATTTACATAGCAATACACCAGCATCATATTAATAACACGTGTAGTCCTGTAACGTAGTGGTTAGAGCACTCGCCTCAGAAGCGAGAGGTCCAGGGTTCGATTCCTGGGCATGGCCAAACCTTAGGCAAGTTTCCTTACTCTACACTCTGCTGTTTACCTAGCAGTAAGTAGGAACCTGGTTGTTAGTCGATTGGAGGATCGCTTTCCAGAGGTAATAATCCATTAAAAAATACGGTCATTCAATCCATGACAGTTTGTGGGACACTGCTATGCGCAATTGGTTGCTGCGTTTCCATACAACAAGGGAGGGTGAAAGGAGTTGGGGCAGAAGGGATGAAGGTGGGGGGGACAAAAAAGAGGAGGGATTGCAGCCTATTAGCTCAACAGCCCTCTCTGCCGGCATTATTGAGTGATTCTGAGTTCATGACGATTTAATGTTGTATCATCATCATGTTAAAGAAAACATCCGTCAGATTTGGTGGAATTAAAGGTGGCGGAAATCCGAGAAGTAATTAAAACGAATAGGATTGGGGATGCCCAAATCATGGATTAATTGGGATTTAACAGCGACGTGGAGCCTGTGCCTGACTTGTGAACATTGCGTCCGGCTTTGTTTAATTTACTTTAAAACGTGTTTTCAAGGAATGAGCTGAAATTAATTACTGAAGCATCTCAGCACTTCAGCTGGCATATTGCGCTGCGCAGAGGAGCTGACACAGTAAGACCAACTTCCCGAAAAGTTACAAGCTGCTCCCTGCCTGGCTGAGAACAGCGAATCTTTGCTTATTATTATTCTCTGACTTCTTTGGTTCTCCCCAGTTAGGGACTTAGAAATAACAACGATGACGACTTGCATTTAAGGAAATAAATAACCCTTGTCTTTCATACAGTGCATTACCACATTGTCTCAAAGCGTTTCACACACATGCACATACACACACAGATACACACGCACACACAGGATATACACAGAGGTTCTGATTGCATCAAGGAATAGTTCAGAGGCCATAAGTGAGGATCTCGGCAGTGGGATATGTTTAGCCTGCATAATTCCCCCACCCCCATTTCTCCCTATGTCCTCACCCCATACCTTGCTCCTCCAGACGTCCCCGATTCCCTCCAGCCCCACACACCCTCCCAGGCTCCCCCCATTGGCTCCTGTCCCTCATTCTAAGGTCAGGTCCCATTCAGGCGGATGCTGAGTTCCCATTGCGCTCCTCAAAAAGAGACAGGAGCTTCTCCCTCCCGCTGTCCTCGCCAACAACCCCCCGCATTAAATTGGTCATTCACTTTATAGCCATTTGTGGGAATTTGCTGAGCACAAATGGCTGCCACATTCTCCCACAAATCACACAATTACTACACTTTACAGTAAACCCTGTGTAGCACTTTGAGACACGATCCACAATAGGATTGCATCTTTGAGACAATATGATAAGGCAAATGCACGGTTTCTGCGAGAATTGCTTGTTTGAGAGCCTGGTGGTTGGAGGAGGGGAATAAAGACAGGGGAGGCAGGAGGCAGTTGAGCCTTCTTCCCCATGGGGCGAGCTCCACTTATTCCTCCTGACAATCCACTGCATTGTATGTAAAAGTATCAATCATTAGATGATGTTACGTTTGTTTATAACAAGGTGATTCTGAGAAGGTTACAGTGCTTTCTATGCCTAAAATTCCCTGGAGGTCATTAATACCCCCCACCCCACATGCTATTGCATTTG